GCCAGGCTTTTCTTCCAACTCTACGAGGGTCCGGATGTTCCAATGTGACCTGCCCACCATAAGCATCCCTGCTAGCTCTTGAAACACCAGTGGCATCACCTCCAGCACCACAGTGACTTGTAAACCACCACAACACAACAGTCTAATCACCTTGAATTTTTGCTCACTTCTGTCTGTCCCAAGTTAATGCCTCTCTGGCTTCAAAGATTACCTCATTTAATAGTTTTTCAGTGACACTGTTTTTCATACATTATATCATTTTCAGTCTATAATTTTTTGATACTGCTAAAGACATGTTTGTATAATGAGGAAAATAGTGCACATCAGTGTGTGTGTGTGTGTGTGTGAGAGTGAGTTGTTATTATTAGGTATCATCAACTCAGTGACCGAATAGGAAAAACAGGAATTGCCTCATACTTTTCAAGGGTGTAGTTTCATGAGCAAAGATGGCAAAGCTTCATCTTTCATACTTTGGACATGTTGCTAGGAGAGGCTATTCCTTGGAAAAGGACATCATGGTTGGAAGGGTGGAGGGGCAGTAAGAGAGCAAGATTCTCAACGAGATGGACATGGTCATTGTAGCAATGCAGTGAGTGCATCAGAGAGAGCACAGAAAGGACAGGCTTCAGATCCGTTCACAGGGTCACGGAGTCGTGGACTCAATGGCTCCCAGCAACAACAACAACAGATTCAGGAGAGTAAACTGCAAGCTGTTAGCCTCACACACGGATGGGTTGGCTCTGAACTGCTTACGTTGTTCTTACTAGCTGAGTACTTACCCAGCAAGTCACCAAGTACCATACACTTTCTCTGAATATGCTTAACCTCATCATTTTATCACTACACTCTTTGTCCTTTGAGAAATGGCAACGAGTGGCCTTCTGGGACTAAAGTCCAAATCAAGTAGCGCGTACTGGTTTAGGAGACCTTCTCCTCCGATGAGAAACTTCAAATCACAAGCAAGTTCATGAAGCTCTTTTTTTTTCCCAAGATAGCAAACACAGATAGAACTTACAGAATAGAGAACTCAGTACTCCAACTCTCCTTCCCTTTCCTGGTGTGGCGGTGGCCCTTGTTCTCATTTGGCGGGACATTAAGAGACATGATTCACATGGGAGTGAAATAGTATGTGCCCAACAAATTCATCTTACCCAAGCCAGAGGGACCAAAAGAAACTTGCCGAAGTTTAAAGCTAAGTTTTGGGGATTCAATCGCTTTATAAATGGGGACAATGGAAGTCCAACTCTCTGCTTTGTCTCTTTCCCCCCAAGCCTGAAGTTTAGGCTGAAAATATTGTTCTCCACACAGACTTCAGTGGAAAAATGAGTAACTTCAGAATCGACGTTATCTGGAAAGTCCTAACTACTTAAAAAGTAAGCTGTGTTTCCCCAGGATATTTGATTTAATTAGGTAAGTTAAACCTAACCTTCAGAATTTTAATTATGTTAAGTAAAATCTTACTCTTTTTATTTAATGTTATCACCAGAGGGCCCAGGTCTATATAATTATATGGCAAGGCAAGCCCTGATCTTTCGACAGGTCCCAATTGAAGTTAAGTGAGCCTTTTCGTATTAGGAGTCCGCCGTAGTGTTCTCAGGAGTCAGTTAACAGAAAGTCCTGTAAGCACCTGACAGTTAACGGAAAGGTCAGAGCCTTGGACCCACCAGATGCTCCTTAGAGAAGGTATGCAGTATGCCTTGGACATACCAGATACTCCTTAGAGAAGGTGGGCGGTATGCCTCTTTACAGCTGAGGTCCTGTGAGCATTTCTACTCTGTCCTACTACAGGATCACGCCAAGTTAGGATATTCTCAATGGCAATGGATTTGACTTTGATGTTATAAATGTCCTCTATTCCCTGGTGATTTAACTGGGATGCTAGTATCTGTCTCAGAACTTAATGATACACTCCATTCCTCACAAAATTTTTAATAGATGTTTATGTGTGTGCGGATGGATAGACAGACAGAAAGACTCACATACCTATATGTAATTGGGACCTGGTAATGCAGCCTACGAGGAGAGGCCTGCTAGTCCACAGGGCATAGTCCTCTAGTGGTTCACCAGACCAGAGGCTCGACAGGAGAAAAGTGGGTAACCTCCACCAACGTAAGTTATAGCCTCAGGACACTGCTGGAGGGTCAGGTACTGGTTTCACCTTGATGGTAACTACTACTATCAATCCCGCAGTATGCCAGGGAGGACGTGCATACCTGCTCACTGCCACATAAACCAACCCCACTGCCACTGAGATAATCCCGACTTATAGCAACCCTATGGCACAGAACCAAACCATCCACAGGGCCCGCAAAGCGGTAATAATTCTGGACGCTGACTGTCTGTCCGGTTTCTCTCAATGGCCTCAGATTAACTTGGTTAACTACCAAATGCCTTACCTGCAGCTTTTTTAGAAGCTCTGTAAGTACAAACTGTCCAAGATGTTTTCCCTGTCTGGATATCTGCTTTCATTTTCATACCTTCCCCACAAAATCCTCTCCTTCCTTAGTCTCGTGTGCTCATCTTCCCCCTCGTTGGCTAGAAAATATTTCTGATCAGCCTCGACTCATTCCTAGAACTCATTTCGTTTCTCCATGGTAGTTTACTTTCTTTCTTCTGCTTCACCACGCTCTTCTGAGTCACTGCATGCACAAGTGAAGATGAGACGACGACGAAGAAGGCTGGAAGAAGAACTGCTGCTTTGAATGGTGGTGCTGGTGAAGAATTCTGAACGTACCATGGAATTCCAGATGCGTGAGCAATCTACCTTGGGAGAAGTACAACTAGAAAGCATCTCAGGAGAGGAGATAGGGAAATGCCCACCTGTACACTTATGTTATTAAGAGGGACCAGACACTGGAACAAAGAGCTCAGGCTGGGAAAAAGAGAGCGACACCAATAAAAGAGGAAAAAGCACAATAAGAGGAGTTGACACAATGGCTATAAACAAACAATGGCCTTAAACTTGGCAACAATTGTGAGGCTGAGCTGATGCGAGGCTAGGCAGTGCTTCCTGCTCTTGTGCACAGGCCACTGTGAGCAGAATCAAGTTGATGCCATCTAACTACAATAAGAAACTTGTATTAAACTGAAAAAGCAGCCTAATGATGCATTTCCCAAGATGAAGGCCTTGGAAAACCTTTTGGAGCACTGTTCTATTATACAATGTCCATAATTAAACCCATCATCTCCTCTTGCTTTTCAACTTTTAGCAAAAGCAGTGGCACAATTCCTTTTGTCACACACAGGCAAACATCAAGTCCAAGTATAACTCTGCTCTTTGCCTTAACCCCTCCATGCACAGCTTCACAATGTTGCTGCACTACTGCTTAACGTAGCATGCTGGACTGCATATTCCATTTCCACCATTAACATTTGAATTAGAATCTTGTTCTTTTTCTTGAGCTAATACCACCAAGCTTTCCTGACCAATTTCTCCCCATGCTTCAATCAATACAACATTCTCCATCTAGATCCATCTTCCTGAAAAGATAATTTAATCAACTCACCTTGTCTTCCAATCTTTAAGGTCCCAAAGACCCATAAGCCACGTATAAATGTTTATACTTGAACTTTTATGGCAAGTGTCATTGGGATTGGATTGCATGGGATGTGAGAACTGAGAAAGGATCAAGCCTTATGTATGTATACAGCATTGTGCAGGTGATTCTTAAATAGTTCCAGAAATTGGAGAAAGCAACAAGAGTTGTATACAGATGGCATTATGTTACTGTGCTGCATAAAGACCTCTGATGGTTTTGTCTGCATACCCAACTTCTCAGGATGATTTGGCTTCCAAATATCTCTTCCCCCTATCACTGCTGCTCCAACTTCCTGGGTGCCACCTTTATGTTATCTTTTATTTCCTTTGATACTGAATCTTGCCATATAACCCCTTGCATATGAGTCTTTGCATGCCACCTTCTTGTCCTTCTTGATTAACTCCAGAAATCTTCTTGACTCATCTGCTCCTGAGTTAACATAATTCTTCCACTAACATTTATGACATCTGTCTACTATTTCTTTGAAGGTAGCATGGCTAAACTTTGCCTCACATACTTTGGGTATGTTATCAGGAGGGCCCAGGATAAGGACATTATACTCAGAAAATAGAGGGTCAACAAAAGGAGGACGGCCTTCAGTGAGATAAAATGACACAAAGAGCTCAAACAGATCATGGATGGGAAGTGTGGCGCAAGACTTGACAGGGTTCCATCCTGCCATCCTTAGTGTCACTATGAACCAGAACCAATTCCGCAGCTTAACGGCATTTTAACACTTCCTTTAATCTCATGCTTGTCACACTGGGACAAGTCTTTTTCCATTTTTTTATACCCTTCAGTCCACTACAGTTTACTGGTACCTGATAAATTTCAGTAAGTACATTGTTTTTTCTTCTGCTACAGTTTACTGGTACCTGATAAATTTCAGTAAGTACATTGTTTTTTCTTCTGCTAACAACTAGCTCTATGCCCTTGGACAACCTACTTAATTGAGTGGATTTCTTTTTCCACTCGAGGCCCAATGATCTCAAGAGTGTTCCACTCAAAGTAAAAAACATGCATTTTCAGTAATTTCCAATATAATTATAAACAGTTACTTGTCAAAATTTCTCTTAACTTTCAATACACATAAAAGAAACCTGAAGTTTAAAACTTCTGCTTATATTTCTGAAAGTTTTTGCTTTCTAGTACTTTTGTGAAACTTCTTTACAATTCTAAACAATTTTGCCAAAGATTGTTTATTCAAATAAGCAGCTTACTATACCAAAAGACAAATACTTTGACAGTAAAGATCATGATTTAACTGTCACTCTTCTCAATAACATCAGTAGCACACAGGAAATACTAGTTATGCTAAATTTACGATGACTGTCATAATAAACACCAAAACACTGCATAATGGGCTTGACAAATGGAACTATGCTTACGCAGAAGATTCTTGACGGGAAGTATAGTGTTTTTAATGAAAAAATACCAAGATACATCCTTCCATCAACTCACTTTATGTTCTCATTTGCAGGAACCTCTGGTAGCTGTACAGTAATCATGCCGTCTAAGTTGGTCTTCCCAATAAAGGCAGGCTTGGTTCGTAGTACGTCAGGGGCAGTCTTCGCGGTGACTCTGTGCTGAAGCCCACCAGCACTGTTCCCACGGTTCGTCAGCACAAATGAGTATGATTTCTCAGGCTTCAGGTTGACAATTAACTTCTGTGTGGCTCTGCCATCCACCTCTTCTACCATCTTCCCATCATCGTAAAGAATCTAGACAGAGAGAGCCAGAGGGGTTAGATTATCAAAGAGGCAAAAATCACTTTTCTAAAACTATGAGCACCTGCAAACAGGAAAATACCTCTGAAATAAATTCAAATTTTGGGTGATTCCTCAACCCATCAAAAAAATCCTCAAACTAATTGTTACCAAGTCAGAAACTGACTCGCAGCTGACCCTCCTACAGGTTTGCAGAGGCTGTATGCTGCATGGGAGGAGACTGACCATCTTTCTCTCACAGATTCGAAGCATCCATCTTTGCTCTGGCAGTCCCACACCCTATCCACTAGACGTCAAGCTCTCCCCTCTTAACCCCTAGGTTTTCATAATTTTAGAGATGACAACTGTTTCTCTTTTAATTCTGATTATATCATCATATGATATTTCAAAGTCTAGCATATAAAAATATAATGTATAACAAATAAATGCACTTTTGCTTTATAAGGCCTATCCTTTGCGTGAGACTAGAGTGGACTTTATGCAAAAGTAGTCCCAATTTTAAACACAATATTCCTCATTTTACTCTCCGAAAGGATTCTGTCTCTTCATTAGTATATTTTAACTTTCAGAATTGTTTCTGTAATCATTTCATAATCTTGTACTTACTTAACTCTCTCAATGGCTTGCCAGAACTTACAATGTGCTAAGAGTACTGGCCAGGAAAAAAGATTCAAATACTCTCAGAATTCTGCTATATAAACAGCAGGGACAATGCAAATCTCATTTTCTATTTGACAAACAGAAGCATTTGCTTTGATTTAAGGAGTGCGAGTTGGAAGTACTCGATGGCCTACACATTAACACCAGCCTTGGATTTGACCTGCTATGTCTCATTAGAGTAGAAGGTCACTCTGCTTAAAGATCACACTCAATGCCTTACATGAAAGCTACCAATGACAACAGCAAGGCCGTGTGGCCCAGTGAAAATGGCCCGCCAGCCTGCCAAACAACTTACCAGATGAACTTCCCCCTCCACTCAGCCCCTGCTATCTTACAAGTGAGAAGACAACTTACTTTGAAAGGCATGGCAGAATTATAATTCTCTGGAATCTCCCAAGACAGAAGCACTGAAGTCTTCATGACTGCTTTGACATGAAAATTTTTTGCAAACACTGCTGGAAAAGGAAAAACAGTGTATTGAAACTATTTCTAAAGACGATGGCCTGTCCTTCTTCACCATGGACCACAGGATCTTAGCTAGGTGCTGTCTACTTCGATCAGAGAGAGAAGAGTGATTCGCCTACCTGATGAGTGCACTTATGTTATTACCACCTGCTCCTAACGCGCTCGCCTTTCTCTCCAGTTCAGTCACCTACATTGTGCTTTCCTTACCTGAGGACACTGCGTGCTGTCAGCCAGACTCGCTCAGCATTCTATCACTGAAATCTAAGGCATCCAACCTGCAGTGGGGTTTACATACTTTACCTTTTCGCTTTTGAGGAACCTATCAATATGAATGGGCCGATCAGTTATTTATAGCTTCAACACACTGATTTCCAAAGACTGACATTCCTTTAAAGGAGGAAGGCCAGAAGCAGACAAATCCTACCTTGATCCACAGGCAGTGTCCTGAACTGGACACTGGGACTATATGGCCCGGGCCCTTTGCTCGTATGGGCACGTACTTTTACATCGTATGTGGTATCTGGTTTTAAGCCACTGAGTGTCATAGTGGTGTCAGCTGGAACAATAAGCTGCTCCATTGGAAGAAGCGGGATGTTGATATCCCTATAGAGAAGTGTATACTTGGTGATGACTCCGTTTCTCTCTGCCAGGATGGGTGGCTGCCAGGACAACTGCACTGAGGTTGACGTGGTGCCATCCGAGTGGAGGTTCTGAGGGAATCCCGACGGCATTTCTTCCGGAACAGAAATCTCTTTCACCATCTCTTCCCCAAAGCCCACTTTGTTTCTGGCTGCCAGCCTGAAGATGTAGGAAGCTCCCTTGTGGATGTCTGTGGCTGTGAAGTGATCTTCCTTCTCTGAAAACTCAAGAGTCGTGAACGGCTCTAAATCCTTGCGGCCGAATCTGAGCCGGTAGCCCTGAAGGGGTCCAAATGTGTCCACGGGAGGGTGCCACTGAATGAGGGCAGTATTCATCTGCGTGTGGTTGATCACAAGCCGGGGTTTCCCTGGAACTGGAGTACACGAGAAGGATTAGTTGGCTTGACTGGTACAAACTCTTTTATCATCCTGCCACGGCTGCATGCGATAACCACTAAACGGGCTTCTCCATGTATTTCTTTTTTTTTTTAAGTCATTTGGTCTGCATAACCAAAAGGAGGAACCAATTAGTAACCATGGAGTTGAGTTTGATTCATGGCAACTCACGGTTTTCTGTACAGAATTGTGCCCCTCTCCTACTCTACCCAGAGATTCTGACACTGGCATCTGATGTTGTAGTTTGCAGGTACTGAATTAGCTCCCAACTTACACCTTCCAGTGCACAAGAAAACAAATCCCCATCTGGTTCTGTGTCACCCCCAAGTCATGCTGTGGACCAGGCCACTGTGACCCACAGATCTTTCACTGGCTTATTTTTGGAAGTAGATCCCTAGTCCACCTTAGTTTGGATGTTCTGCCAAAATCTGTTCACCCTGATAGCCACATGGGAGGCTGCAATGAAAGACAGGGGTAAATGCACACGAGGTGAACTGGATGGGAAGTGAACCTGAGCATCCTACCCAGAAGGTGAGAATTCTATCACCGAACCTCCACTGCCTCATCAGAAGAATATCAAAACTGAGGCCAAATGGGAACTGGTATTGAAACTAACTTGAAGGTATGGTTTTCATATTCAAACCATTACATGTAAAAGTTCGACTCACGGAGAAATTAATCTGAACAGTTGAGTGTCAATGATTAAGTGAGAAAACGTGAAGACAAACCAAGTTTTGCCTGAATCCTTACTTAGTTCAAATATTTAACTACACTTTCATGTTGCTTCGAAGTTTAAGAGCTGGATACAACAGCAGTGCTTTGGCTTACTCTGCATCTAATTTGCACCTTTTTGTCTCTGCATTGCCATCCACACCAACCATCCTTGTCAAGTTCCTCATCTGTATAATGGGGCTGATGTGAACACCTACCTCATATTGCTGATATGAATAATAAAGTGATGGAAGGCATGTAAATGACTTAGCAGGGTGCTTCATAGTCCACAAATATGACTCACCACTATGAATATTCAGGAGCTTAAGATTTTTTTGTTAGGGGCTGTTTTTGATGAACACAGAATTTATTTACTTAGCGTTAGATATGCTCAACCTATTTATGAAAAGTTCTAATTTACTTATTCAGCACCATACTACATCTGCTATATTCTAAATACGGGGGTTACATGTTCCTGGAATCTAAAAAAGCAGAATACAGCTATATAATACATTACAAGGAATTCTTTGGCAAGGGATTGGACAAGGAAATTGGAAAAGTATCACCGGAACTCAATCAAGAAAACAAAAGTGGAAAGACAATGGGGAAAAGACAGGGGGGCATTTACACCAATGGGCGTAATTAAAAAAATAGCATCATGGGAAAAGAAAAAGAAAAAAAGATGGTGAGACAATGCGCAGAATATTGGCCTCTAGCTTATCTAGTTAACATAGTAATTTTCTATTTCAGGAAGTTGAGGGCCACACAATGATGTGTTTTGAACTCTGTCCTTAACTAACAGAGGAATGTAGTTGCTGCTTTCACATGCTGAGGAGATTCCTGGTAAAGTCTCATAAGCTAATCCATGACACCTGGGAGCAGTGGTCCCTGTGTGTACGTGGCAGTTATCAAATGTGTGCGAGGCTGCCCCAGAAACCAAACCACCCTGCCCACATCCTGTATTTTTTAATGGAAGCATCTTCCTTATCAAACTGCAAACTCTCAACACAACCCAGCCATGGATTTGGGAGCATCAGACTTTTCTCTTTTAAATAAATTTAAACCCATTTTAATTTTAAAATATCTGTTTAAAGTAGACAATGCCAAATAGTCTTCATTTCCCCACTTGAAATTTAAAGCCTTTTTAAATGATTTTTTCCATTAAAATGTCAGTGACGGTGCTCAGGGTGAAAGATTGGAATCTCTGCCGAGAAAACAGAAATCCATGGCGAACTACAGCTTTCAGCAGAGAACAACACATACTTTGGGAAATGAAGCCCCGTTCAAGTTACCGGGCAGACATATAACTCTCAGGTCTCAATATTCTCCAAGGGCAAGATAAATTAATTCCCCAAATCCATCCTGTTAAAATATTTTAGAACCATAAGAGACTGTATACATCTTTACAGAGGTGCACAGAGCATCTTTTTGTAAATATTCATATAGTGCTGGTTTTGAACATTTTCTTGATAACAATTGTAAGTACAGATTGCACTTGAACAGTATTTGCCTGCCATTTATAGGTACTTTTTGATTGCCTGCTAATCTGCTTAGTAATGTTGCTGTGGTAGAAATCTGAGGAAATTTAAAACACTCATAAATTCACACACACACACACACACACACACACACACCCCTTTGACTTGCAGAACTGTGCACATACTCTGCTGTGTATTCACCTAGTGACAAAGCTGGAAGTGGGCTGCGGCCTTTTCTTTTCTGATGCTAGCATGCCCGTTCTTTCCTGGGGTACAACAGCTTGTGGGCTTGAATCGTGAAATCCAAGCAGTGCCCTAGAAATACAAGTACTGGTTCTCATCTACTGGCTTCCTCTGTGAGGCCAGGAGCCTCCTGCCTGCTCTCCACTGCCAGGCCTTCTCCAGCCATTCTTTCCCTGGCAGAAGTGTCTCTAAGCCTGAACACAATGGGACAACTGGGCTGGAAGCAGCAAGAAACACACGTGAAAGAAGTTAATGCTCAGACAGCCCTCTTTCCTCGAGGGCAAGAAGAAAGGATATATAAACTTATTCTGGGTATGTGAGTAACAGAGAAATTACTAGCTCTGGGTAAGAGTCTTAGAGTGGCTGTGGTAATATACAGAATAAAAAGAATGTGGGAATTCTTCTGCACTGCATGCATTACTAAAAATATATTTCTCTAAATCAGCACATATTTGCAACGAAGCCACTTGCTTTCTAGTTTCTAGAAATCCTTTAGGTGACAAATAATTACCACTCCACTTTGTAGAGATAATTACATAGTAGCACAAAGGCATTTGGGGGGGGGGCGGAAGGTGGAAACAACAGCGTGCATGTCCTCTGAAAAAAGCAAATGGTAGTTGAAAGACTGAAAAGATGATGGACATGATGCAACTGGTGGGGTGAGTGTCCATGTTCTCCAGTCCTCATCCTTCCTGCGTGGACCAATTCTAAAAGCTGTCCTAGTAGTGACATCAGGGATTCTGCCCACTCCAGCAATGGGGCCAAAGGAATGAGGATTCCACGGCCTTCGAGAACAAATTCAACAATGCTTTCAAACACCCAGTGGAAGGAACAAGAACGCTTGACTACACAGTAAACAGGCAAGCGGTAATTGACGTCACGGCACATAAGCTCTTTTCTCTTGTCTTTTTAACTGAGCTCTCTCTTCACAGTCTTTCATCTTAAATTACTTTTATAACTTCATTAATGGTATCTATTTGCCGTGTCCCCCTGCTTGCCCCACTCTTGGCCACAGTAATCACTGGGTAGCAAGCAAGGCACCCCTTTACAACAGCTCAAATGCAATCCCAAATGACTGGCCTAATCCCCCTGTTAAGACTTCCACACTATTTATGTAATTACTAGTCATCTTCTAGATCATTCTTGAGCCCAGGCGTCCGCTATAGTACTGAAAAGGACATAAAAGCAGATATTCAGAAAATTTCTGACGAAGGAATTTGTTGAGTTTTCTTAAACATCAAGGCCTCAGACAGTAGATCAATTACTATCAGAACAATGGGAGTGTTAACACAGAAACTACAAAAATGTCATCATTGGGGTGGGAACCAAGAAAAGAAGGAATAAATAATGTACACGGCATCGAAATAGAGGAGGGAGAGAACTGCACAAAAGGAATATATGATTAGGTATTATTGGCATGACAACAGCCCAGAATAAGAGCTGCATAGTAAAGTGGTGGTGGTGATCAGGGCTATAGAACAACAAAAGAAATATTTTAAATTTTTTTTAAAGTGGACTGGA